ATATCACTTCCGTACGGCGGAAAAACCAGAATAAGCAAAAGGTCTATGCACACCAACCTTCGTCATGGTGTTTACTTCATTCACATGCAGTTTCATTTTTGACTCGTACTGCTCGCCAGTCATACCAGCAGCATCCTAAGACAAACAACCAACAAACATGGCAATATCTACTTTACCTATACCCTTCACTGAAATTCAATCGACAGATACTGAAGTGGGTTAAGACACTGTCAATCAATATCAGCCAATGAACAAGCGTGTGAGTGCCATTACGCTCACTGATTGGCCAATTTTTGATTGACAGAATCTAATAGCTGCAATGTAAAAACAAAAAAGTAACTTTCCAAGATGTTGCAATAAGTCTCATACTTGAAACTTAGTTTTCTCTCCATTGAATTCCATGAAAATATGCATATTAAAAACACACTTTGAATCACCGTCTGCTTTTTGGCGGTTCGTTTATCTATACCCTCCTCCATAAGAAAATACATCAAAAGTTCTTCAAGATGCAAATTTGAAACCTGATGCTTTGAAACGATGTAAACATTATTCTTCAAACCATTTAAAGCATAATTTTTCTCAACTTACGTGTCTTGATTTTGAGTTTTTCAATAATGTTTACGTTTTGTTTGCATTACATATGCATCTAATGAGTTGTATGCAAACATTCTAGCTTTTTGTTACTCCCGTACAATAAACAATACTAAAAATATAGAAATAAACGAAACTTCGTCCACATTTTTAAAGTTGACATAAAGCTTCAACAGTTTCAAAAGATTGGAAAGTGATAAAAAGCCGATTTGTGACTTACGAGATCAATTCCTCGCTTCTCCAGGTTCAGATTCAAGATTTCTACGGCTTCTTCTCGACACGAGTCAATCATCTCTTTTGTGTGATTATACCGAGCTGAAACATGAATAAATGAGTATAACTATATGTTAGGCAGACACATTATATCTCAAAGAGATAAGATTAAAAACTGAATACAATAGTATTCATTCGCGTAATGGAATCCTTTTATTAAGGTCCTAGCTGTATAATTCAATGCATTGTTTCTGTTTGAAAACACAAGGATTTATAGCTATAAAAATGCCAAAGTGAATGGAATTTCATTAAAACTGATATGGTTGGATGTTAGACATCAAAAGCTATTTCCCCGAAGTGGCAGTTTCGGGGTTTATTGGGGTTCTCTCAAAATTTTCAAAAAATTCATCCTTGTTATCATGGATTCAGAATTTGCAATCCAATTTCTAAATAATGGCCAACGTTTTCAGAGATCTTAGAATGTTCCTGGAAAAGCATTTAGATGATGAAAGCAAAGGATTCACGAAACTTGAAAAAAAAAACAATTCAACCAACTACTGACAAAACAAGTGAGTGACTAAAACGTCACAGTTTACTGTTAGGGATATGAATTCAAACTTACCAACGGCTAAAGGGTTGTTTGGAAATGGCAGAAATTGGCCAGTCTGTAACAAAGTCGATCCCTGAAAGCCAGACCCAAGAAATATAATTGAAATAACACGACTACAAGGAATCGATTTCAACTCTAAAATTTTAGACCTGTCGCGTGTATTAGCAAATTGACATTTGAAGATTTCGGAAGCAATGTTGGGCCTCAAAAACTTCACAAAGAATAGGTTTTATAAATGTCAAGAATAGGTTTTATAAATGTAACACGATGAAGTGCTATTCCTTAAATGAAATGCTTTTCTCCAGGTAAATTTACCAACTAGAATAACAAATTAATAAAGCAAGTTAATATATACCCATTGCGATGTGCTTCCAGTGGCGATTCTGCAAAAAACAGCACGAAAATCAAACTACAAAACTGAAAAAATGTCATAATACTACAGAAGGCACTGTACTTTCTTTCAATTTTATTGTTGCCACCATTTAAGGTTAAAATTTATACTGGCAAACTACTCTCGTACTGGCAAAGTTAAACAGTCTGGCGAATGCCGGGCTAGTTCCTCTCTAGGTGTAAAACAAAGCAGTGGCAATGTCCGACGATATCTTCACTCAGTATCGTAAGTCCTAAACTCTGAAAGGCGTATTTCGCAAAATAATTGTTGGGTGGGGTTATATTCGAGGGGGGCTTATTCAAGGGGGCTTATTCGTAGATTGGGGCTTACTGAGAAGCTGCCAAGAACATTACGAGGGTAAATTTTGTTCTTCTATTTAAAGTAGGTCTGTATGTCAAAAATACAGATGGGATAAACCTATTGCTGGCGGGGCAATACCTTAGCCCACGGGGGCTGATTCGCGGGTAGGGGCTTATTACAAAGTAAAAAATACAAAGTAACAAAGGATCAAGTATTAGAAAGAGTGCAAGGATAATGCTTAAGATTGGTTACGTACAAAGCCCCATCTGCTTCGTCAAATGTGGCATCCTCCTCTTCTTCCTCAAGCATCTCTGAATCATCCATGGTTTTCTCGACTTCTTTGGTGACAATGTCTTCCTTTACATCTTTAAAAAGATCTTCACGACTCCTATGACAGGTAAACATAATGATCCCAATCACAACCAAAAACATTTATCCAAACATCAAAAGCCAGCATTTGCGAACTTTTGACATCAAAGCCCATGAATAACCGGTCTTAAAATACACTGCAAATAACTCCTTAACTTTCCTTCTAACCAGATTGACTAGAATAAATGTTAATTTAATGGCGGCTAATTAGTTCATCCCATTTCTACTCAAAATGTGGGAAAAAAGTCAGCACCAGATTAAAAGTAAAGGAAACCATTGTAAAATATAATACCAAGAAGGTAATTAGTTTCAGGGTTTCTTTCCTTTAAATATGGCCTTCTGTTCAAACCGTCACCAAAAAAGAGAAATGGCGATATTCTGTCCCTGAAAATCGGCATATGAGAAAGAACCTTATTGCCAAGCGCCTATAAGGACGAGCACAAAAGATGCAAAGTAGGGGTGGCACTAGAGGGGCTTGGAGGCTACCCCCGGCAGGTCGAACTCAGCCAATCTTATTGATAAAAGCCTTGGTTGAAGAAGATATCTTAGCCATCCTCATGGCGGAAGGCCAGGCTCAAAAAATGGAAAACTTCTGGCTGCACCACTGACACAAAGTCATGTTACGCACGGCTAAAATTGTGAGCTCGGTTACTCATCAACTTCCGAAAAGTCTTTGTCCTTCGAAGCGAGAATTATAAGAAGATTTCTGTAAGAGTTAATATTTGAAGAAAGGGATCGAAGGTTCAACGTGAAAAAAACTGTATAAAACATATACAATATTTCCCTTCAAATACTGCTAGCACGAAACAATATGCTTTTGTTCGTGCCATGACCCAAAACAGTGAGTTATCGCTCATACCATTAGCCATTTAGTAACATGACAAATTGTTCACCTTGCTATTGCTGCTGCTAAATCCTTCTTTGCGTCTTCTGTTGCTGCATAGCTAGAAACTGATACGTCATCAGCTTTTAAAAAGAACAAATACATCGTATTAAATATTTATCTTCCAACAAAAGCAGGCTGAATGTTAGTTGGTGCCATCATTTTGGAGAGTACTGTGAGAGTTCTAGTATCAAGAGCTGCCTTTGTCGCTATCTAGTAGCTACACTTAACTGTTGACTACTTAAACCTCATAGGCACTTTAAAGCAAATTTCGCTGCATAGGGACCTTTAAAGCCTCAGTCAATGAAAACAGTGTAAGCTAAAATATGACAATAAAGGAAAGGGTTTGGGCCCTGTCAATACCGAATCGACGATAGTTACATCGTTATATATCGTTAGTCAACTGGCCTTGTGAATAGGTATCAACAAACAGAAAAACTTTGTGTATCCTGCAGAGCCAAGCAATCGTTCAAAACGCAATGGGTGTATACCAAGTAAGTTTTGCTGCTTGAATGGAGAATGGCTTTCAAATGGAAAGCAATCGTAACACAAGTAAAAGAGACACCTGAATCGAGCTCTGATTCGTTGAAAGTGCTTTGGAATGAGACGGATTTCGCCAGATCTACAAAAGAACAGGGAAACAGAATGCAGACTTGGTAAAACAAAAGGGAAAATAGTTTACAGAGCTATTCGGTTACCAGGCTCTTTGTTATTGTTTCGTTAGGAATTGATTAACGCGAGCATGAAATGAATTTTCTATAATGGTGACAAAAATGAATATTTTAATTTGTAAATGTCCGTGTATAATTATTAGAAAGGAACTTTGATTAGGGACTGCCAAAAGTGAAAGATTTGCTAAACACGAGGCAGTTCCATAATGGCAATCATCGTTAAATCATCCAACTCTTAAAAATTCTTCTTAGTGGAAATTAGTGATTGTCAACTTAAATGCTGTAAGAGATTGTGAATTCTCATTTAATCGGTTTAAAGACCTTTATGCAGATCAATTGATTGTCACTTTTAAAGAATTTGTTGAGATACCATTGTCGAATATCTTATTGTATTGTTAATCAAATTCTGAGCGATCACAAATAAAGTGACAGATTGTGTTGCAGCATCTTTTATTGGTAGTATGCCGTTGGATGTCTCCAATGTAGAAAATACGCCGTGGCTCAATTATGGTTAAAATTACTGAATAAGATACCGTAAATCCTCGAATTAGCCCCCTGGGGGCTTATTTATTTTTGATATTTTTGGACGGGGGCTTATACGAGGGGGGCTTATAAAATTATTGTAGAAAATAAAAAGACATTATTAAAAGACCTTGTTTATTTTAGTAGGAATTTCTTTATGAGCATTTGATTAATTTCTACCAAAAGTATGAATTTGTCGTGGTAATTCAATAAAACGCCATAGGCAACCTGAGATGGCAAAAACCTTCAAATTGAGGGGTCCAATTCGATAATATACGGTAGCAGTAGGGGCTTATTCGAGGGGGGGGGGCTTATTGACAATTTGTAGTCCTAGGGTGGGGGCTTATTCGAGGGTTTACGGTATGCCAGATGATGTTAAAGTTACAAGGAATGGTGACGCAAAATGAATCTATGCTGGAACAAATAAAAAGATCTTTTCAACCAGTACCGCAAAGAGCGAATAAATATTAGGGGGAACAGCTGTTTGAGGGCAAAAGTAGCCCTCAAGAATAATAGTAACTACGGCCTGGTTTTGAAAAAATGAGAAAAAAACCATGAAATAACTTTCTAAAGACATAGGTGTCGAAAGAGCATTGAACCGCTTACTTTGACTTGACGGCCCTTTTAATGCAAAGAACGACAGTCCCTTCTGTTTCCATCCAGGATAGATTTCGCTCTTTGAGATCATCGACTTGACTACGTCACCACTTCCAGCATCAAGGACGAACAGTTTTACTGTTCCCATTAACTGTAACGTCGAAACGTAAAACACAAAGTCCAATTTGTACGATGAGCGTGGCGGTGTTGATGATATAGATACATATTGTCTCCAATATGGAGATCCACTGGCATAGTAGACATAAATCGGTTTGTTAAACTGTCCTTTTCCGCTTGATTGTGCTCTGAAGTCGAAGGAATCTTTCCATTCACTTGAGCTTGGTGAAGGGGTCTTCCAAACGCGGAAGTTGTTCTTTGCATTCGAAGCAACATAGAGCATAATTGTGCCATCTAAAGAAGTTACAATTAAATAATGACACAGGAGCGAAAAAACCAGATGAATACTCAGTTTAAAAATTTGAGGTTTCGATTTTTAAATCACTCCAAACTTCATATCATAAGCCTTTTTGAGCTCATATTAGGATTTACTTTAAGCAAGAACACAATTTTTTGTATGGTTTCTGAGTGGATTAAAAATTGCATGATTGAAAAAAACTTGAAAAATTTAAAAGGAACCGACCACGAAAATCTTTTTGGGTTAAACATTACACACTTAACCGTTATTCATGGTCAATTCTGTTAATCAATTTTCAACTCTGTCAACATAAAATCAATGTTGCGAGTACTAGCATGGTAAAAATTTACATTGAGAATACCTACTGAACATTAATCCGAATATGAAGTAAAACATGTAGCTCGAAGAAGTTTGGATTAAGTTGGAACGTTGTGTTTGTGCTGATAATGTGCAAAGATAAACGAAGGAAGTATTCCAGGCATACAAGCAGAAGAATAGCTTTGAAGAAAGCAAACATTTGAGTATGCTGAAGCTTTTCGTTTGACACTCTTCAGAGTATAAAAAGAAGACTCTATCAGAGCTTAATACTCTGAAGAATTTCAGACGAAAAGCGTCAGTAGACTCAAATGTTTGCTTTTTTCAAAACTATTCTTAAGTTTTGTACCATCATAGGATTGTTTACTAACTGAAGTGCAAAACAGAAAGAAATTTATTACGTCACCTTGGTCTGGTCTTTGCTTTGAGTCCTCTAACGATCGTTTTATCACTAGACAAAGCAAGAGCCTTTAATTTAAACTGTATCAAAATTATCAAGTCTGAATGACTAAAAACACATGTCAAGAAAATAAAAGATACTGTACGAAAAAACTACTGATTAGTTTGACAGTAAAAAGAACATTTGACGATTAAAAAGCTCAAAACCATAACTGTTTGCATCGGCCTTACAAGTGGATAACTTATGATGCAAATTCTGAAAGAAAATTCAAATGTTTTAAACAATTTCTTTTTAAAGAAAAAAATGCTTTGGGGAAGTCGACATACAACGGAATGAAAAGGCAATCAAATTCAAATAAAGCATTTGACACAACCTTTAATGACTTTTTCTTTTGAAAATCACCAACATGCACACAAGCTAGATCCTATAGTCCTTAGAAAAGACGAATTTAATTTTCAAGCTTAGTTTGTTCTTACAACAAATTGTTGGTGAGACTAGGCTACTGTGTCAGCTGTGAGCAACATGACTGAGCAACGCGCCTCAGATATCAAATAGAGAATCCTGTTGCGTCGTTGACGTCATGGAGCGAAGTGCTTTTGCAAGTGATTGGATAGAAAAGTGTTTGGGGGTTTGAATTTCGAAATGATTTTTGGCAGGCAAATTCACTAGAAAATACAAAATTCTCTAATAATTTAATTTTAATCAGCAGGGATAAGAAGCTCATAAAAACTGAGATGACTTGGACGTACTTGGTGTCGAGGCAAAAACAGCATTTGGCTTTGTATTTGATTCAAAAATGGTCTCCTCTTCAGCAATATCTTTTCGCCCTTTTGTGTTGAGACGTTCTTCCATTTTGGAAAGCTTGGTCTAAAATACAAACCATGCTATGTTGTACAAAAGATGAGAACTAAAGGATATCCTTACAATACGCAACTATGTTATCATGATCAGTAGACCTTAGGCAAGCTAGCTCAAGTTTCACAACAGTATATGCCCTTAATGATTGATTTTTATAAATATTCAAGACTCTGAATCGTCTTATACATCATTAACCTGAAACTTAGTTTAGAATATACAAATTAGCAGTCCTTGGCTACAATTAATATGTCGAGGACTGAAAAACCATTATGATTATTCTATGAATACCAACAGAGATAATTCAAAATGGCTTTTAAAAAAGCAAACATTTGAGTAAACTAAAGCTTTCGTCTGACACTCTTCAGAGTTTAAAATGTTAGAACATAGATCGAAAACTCCACGCTAGGAAATATATATACCCAGTTGAGGATCTAAATAGGCCAATCAAAAAGTCGTGGATCGAAATAGGCCAATCAGAAACGCGAGCACATGACTGTTAAGGTTGACCAATCAGTGCCGCTTGCCCATAGAGAATGTTACCAGCAATGGAGTCCTAAGGTGAAAACGCTCCTTTTGTCTACACAATAGCGGTTTTTTCGTGCTTATGTAAATAGATTCCAAAGATAATTCAACTGTAAGTTAGGAACGTGAGTAAGATATTGAGAGATTACCTGCTGTTCGCCCACCATTTCTTGGAATTTCTGGTTAAAAATAGAGAAATTTTCAAAGTTACCTAAAATACTCGGTAAGAATATAATGTAAGGAAGTGATCGAAAGTTACGATTCTGAAAAATTAAAACTTTTAATTAATAAAAAGTCGGTCACCAAAGAATTAGTAACCGCTGATTTCGAATTAAGGCTGGGGTAATACAAAAACACCATAGGACAGAAGCACACACAATTGGACAGTGAGAAGGATAAGGGAAAAAATTAAAACGGATGTCGTAGTTTGCATCTAAAATAGCCATGAAATAATTCCTATCAAATTTTTTTTGTCATAAACGACGTAAAAGCAAATATCGCTGGTCCTCAAAACTTACAAAATTTTTTCATAATCATATTTGTTTTGATTGATGTTAACAGAAAGCAGATGATTGTAAAAGAAACATTTGTCTTTTAATCAGAGATTAGGATTTATCTTTACACCTTATATGAATTACGTGAAGACATCCAACTTCATACCATGCTATTTAACTGCAGCTCTTTTAAAAATTTGGCTTCCATTTCACTCTTCTCTAGCTCCGATCTTTTTAACGAATCTTCATATTTTGTTACCAATGACGAAAACTGAAGAAAAAAGGGTCAATTATATCGGTATTAAAATGACATCGGAATGTCTTAATCTGAATATACAATGAATAACTCTTCGGTAGCAATGAAATATGCTTACTGTATACTCTGATAGTAAATAAACAGAAAAATTTAGTTCCAAACTCCTGATAAGGTTATTGTTACGGAGTTTGGTGCTAAAGTCAATGTTTTGTTAAAACCATGTAGGTATTAAGATTACTAATGAGGATTAAAGCTTATTTTCCAGGTCGTGAATTTTCAAATTGAAATTTCACTTCAGGGAGGGTAGGATTATTTTCAGCAGTTTATGAACGCTGTTAACAAACGCACATTCACTGCCAAAATTCTTAGAACACTAAAGGCAAATTCAGAAACTCCCCCCACCCTCCCCCTTGGAACAATGAGGATATACTATAGCAAAAATAAATGAGTTAAAGAAATAGGAAATAGTACGTTTCATACTGTGGCTTGTACTTTATTTTTCTTTACTTTCAACATTGTTCTGGGGTAAAGGGGGACGGTAGTAGTATTGGGGAAAAAAATGAAAAGTAGAAATGCACAGCGCAAAGTTTTGGGTGTTCCGAACAATGTTGACAATGATTATACGTATATACGCCCTTTTATTCAGTCAAAACGCCACTTTCAACCTACACAAAAACAACAGCATTATTAAAGTTCCTAGATACAGAATTTTACAAATTACATTTTCGGAATAGAAGCATCTAACACCTGTTTGTTTTCTACAAACCTTGTCGAGTTCTTCAGCATGCACCTTCTTCATCTGGTCTTCTCTTCTTCTCGCAGCCCTCGTTACTTTTTCTAATTGTTCTTGGTACGACTCCGTTAGCTGAAAAACAAAAAACTTTGGTCCTAACCAGGGGATTATAAATTTGGCGTTACCTTCGCCATGACCGGATGACAAGAAAATTATTTAGGCCAACGGAAATCACAAGAAAATAATCTTTCTTACAGGAAATCTTCAGTCATGGATTAAGGATGCACCAATCCCCAAAGGAAAATCAAATTTTGGAAAAAGACATAATTCCTCTGAAAATAGCAAAACCTCTTTTTTCCAAAATAATATGAATGGCAAAATTGCCTATCTTCTGGGAGAGATTTGTTGCCAAGGTCCAACATAATAATTTGAAATTGGTGAAAACAGCTAAAATTTTGTTTTGCATCTATCTATCTCTAGCTCGTCTGGAATAACGTGATTTTCATTGCATGTTTTTGAATTCTGGACTTCAAAAGTCGTGATTTTCGAAGTTAATCATGTTTTCAATCTTCCGATAATTAAGCAATCAGTTCCTATGTAATGTTTGAACAGTGGTACCTCTTTCTGCAGCTGCTCCTTGATCTGCGCCATGTCTGGCTCATGGTGCGATTCTCCAGTAACATCCTATTACACAGGCAAGATAATGAGAATGGATGATATTGTGAAATAAGAATCATTACCACTAATAAACTGAAATCAAGAAAATTTTGACCCCATTAGTATGTATTAACAATGGAGTTAGCATGGATTAGAAACAATGGAGTTAGCATGGATTATAAAGAAGAAGCCAAGCTTTTGAGATGCACAGGGAATGTGAGATTCATAACATATAGACAAAGAATTCTATGAAATTTATCAGAGCTTGAGGGACATAATTAGAAAGCAAGGAAGCTGCTTACAAGTCAAATGAATATTAGTAGGGAGACGAATTTCTCTTGAGAAGTATAGAAACTTATAACTAGACAGCAAGAAATAGGTAGGAATTGTGACCATTTAACAGGCATGTTTTTTTTCAGTTAGCTGCCAATTAAATGGGGGGAGGAGTTGAAAAATCTAAAGACACACACGATCGGTTAACAACATATCTAGAGCAAATCAAATCACGGAACTTCAATTGTACCTGTAGATTTCCTAGCATTGATGGCTTCGTTCCTGAAAATAATTAAAAACATCCAAACGATACTGGGCAAAAAAAATTATTTGTTTTTTTTTAAACCACCTGCTCATTAAGACTTTAATCAACAGCCAGCTTAAGATTGAGAACTGATGCTAGCATTCAATGCAAAGTTCATTGTAAAAAGCCTAGAATTTATAAATTTTACCTTCATATTTAGCAAAAAATCACTTAATGCATAAAATGAGCGAAATCCAATTTTTTGTAAAGATAATTGATTTTTTCAGCCATGAACCTAAAGCAATTTGAATTTTTCTTCTTCTTGAAACAACTAGAACCACGAGAATTATTGAAACAGGGCAACTAATACTAACCTTGAATTTCTGACAAATTGTCGAATTTCTGAAAAAGTATGCATAAAATAAGAAACGAAAAAAGAACGGAATATTGCTACATAAAAGTTCAATTTGAATATAGAAAATCAGAACTAAATTGGAGTAGCCTTTGGCATAGCAGAATTAGCATAGTGTTATGAAAGTTAAGCTAGCTTGCCTAAGGCCTACTGTCCATAAGTCTACTGATTTTCATGATCATTTAAATTTATAACTTGGACTGTATTTTGTATTGTAGTGCTATCGAGGCCTATTTCCTGTAGGCCAGAGACGCTCCACAATGCTTAATGGTGTTTTCCGTGTGTGACGTCATAAAGCAACAATTCATCATTCTGCCTTTTCCAAAACTAACTCATCAGTATCAGTTTGTGACTATCAGTTATAACAAATCAAACTTGCTCACCTGCTGCAGCGTGTTTCTGTCCGCACGTAGCTGTCGAATTTCGTCCAGAAACATATCCTTGTGACTTTTTATCAGAACCTGGCAATGAAATGCATTGTCTGACATCACTGTTTTCTTTATAAAGTTGAATTTGCGGCTCAAAAAACATCTGTATTAGTATGGAGACAGTCTTCATCTCAACCCAAACTCTATTCATCTATTATCATTTCGCAAATTTGTTCTGATCTATTTACCCCGATACTTTAGAGAGCAATGGTCTTTTGTTCTAAAAAATGGGAAATGTGACGTCATCTTATTAAAACAATAGGCTTGCCCCCCCCCCCAATATTTGACCAAGTGTCCGCCACTGAGTAAAATTACTGTTTAAGCGGTCTTTTATAAGATGCTCAATGCCGAATTGGCAGAGTTGCATACGCATTGGTGTATAGAACAGGGTGGTTCTAAGTTGCAACTCCAAGATAACTGCTTAATGCCATCAGGCAGCTGCTGTCTATTTTTAATTAATTTTGTTTACATATAAACATCTTATTTAGTTTTCATAACCACCTTCATATCTGCGATTTCTTTGTCTTTACCCGCTAATTCACTTCGCGAGTATTCTTGCATCTTTTTAAATTCCATTTCTCTTTCCTATGACAAAAAAAGAAATCAATCTTACAATTCATAAAGAAATCTTGTGATTCAACAAAGATAGCTGATGTTATTCAAATCATTGATTCCATCTGATCTGCAGAATGATATTATGCTAGCATGAGAGTTTAAAACTAAATAGCCATTAAGATCTTGTAGTGACAATATTTCAATCCATCTTCCATTTTAAAAGACTTCTAAAAAATTGTCTGCAAAATAAATTGGCAGACCAAAGTAAAAAGTTATTGGACCGAAATTCATTTTCATGAATGTTTTCAGGCAAAATGCACAACATGTTAAAGTCATTATCATATGACAATGTCATACGCCATGAAAGAGAAAAGAGAACTTATTGTTATCACGATCATCTGAAGTACGTCAAAATGAAACACCAGAAGGATATGACATATATATATACATTTTACTATTTACGAAGATCTTGGTTACCAGTAATTGAATCAGTATACAATTAAGGGCCAAACATAGAAGAAGTATAAGAAAACATAACTATGTGCACATGAATATCTGGTTGTTACCGGAATTGAATGGCATGATCTTGCCCTGCAAATGGATGAGGACTGTGCCCAGAAAAATTCTCATTTTTGGAAGATAACACAATAATTTTCAAAAATAAAGAAAACTTAATAATAATTGAGTTTATGAACATTATTGATAATTGATGTTAATGAACATTTTTAAGATTCTAAATTACAATCCACGATATCAGACAGTCTTCGCTGACATTATATCAGGCAGGGGCTAAAAAAACGTCACTGACACTATCTAGGACAATCAAAGCTTTGACGTTGGTTTGAAGGAGACTTACAGCGTCTAGTTTACGATCTCTCTCTTCTCTTTCTGCCACCAATCGAGCCTCTGTTTCCTGTAGCTTTGATGTGATGTGGCTTAACTCTTTGACAAGCTCTTCGTTGTCAACAGACTTGCCTTGCTGTCCAGTGCGGTTTGTATCAATAACATTTTTTTGAACAGGCGTTGCATCGATCTTAATGTTTTCTGACTGCTCAGAGTGTCTTCGCAATATATGAGCTTTCAAAAATTCATCATTTAAGAACGACTTTATGCAAAACGGACACTGAAAAAAATATTTCAATTTTATTTGGATCAATTTAAGCGCCACTGATTCGGGATTGAACAACACAAATAAACAACCAATCATAGTGAATAGGAGGATAAAATTCATAAATTAAAAAGATGGAAATATAAAACAATTGTTATCAAATGGGGTAGGATGTGAACTATTGTTATCAAATGTGGTATGGGAACTACCAACAATATCCTAAAGTGCTTCATTATTTCGTGTTCCCTCACGTGAATGATTGGCTTACATCTTTAGAGGAATGGGAAAGAAAGTGACGTCACTTACCTTATGGAACTTACTGGCACCCGCTCGGAGCATTAGCTGATATTCTCCAATCAGCTTTTTATTTTTTTGATGCTCCTTCTTCAGACCACGGTAAGCCATATTCTTTTTTTCGATCTCTGCACTCAAGTTACTTTTCTCCTGTTAAACCAAAGAATATCCAATTATTACAAAAAAAATCAAGAGATTACTGAGGAACCAAGTACAATAGTAAATAAAGAAATAACCTTTGTCATAGTCACTATTCATCATTTACTTGATATGTTTAAGACACATGCAAAGTAGATAATTACTTCTTTCCGCTAACGTCAGTTTGATAGTGTTGATATTTTTTATCATTAAAAATGAACTTCTATTTGAAAGGGTTAAATCATCTACTGAGAAAACCAAGTCATATTCATTCATATTGAAATAAAGACTCTTTTCTCAGGAAACACAAAGAATCCCCCCTTTTATCTAATTTTATCTAACCCACATAACCATCAAAGAGCCAAGCAGAATCCTCTAAATGAGACAACCATCCTTAATTACTCATTTTAGACATAAAGAAGTGAGCATAATTTTAGGAAACATGGACATGCTATTCACCAGGCAAATTTTGAAAAAGAAATACTTTTGAATATGGGAAAAAGAAATACTGCTATCTGGCATAGCACGTTTCATGCTGGACACAAATTTTGATCATACAAACCTCAACAGCTTTTTGAATCTGACTCTCAACCTGAGCAATATAGCCTTCCAAATACTGCTGAGAATTTAGAAGGTATTCTATCAGCAACTGTGCCAGCTTGAATAGCTTCACTAAATTGGCATCAGCTTCTCTCAGACTCTGTGAAATACCAAAGAAATATTTAATAAATCATTAAATTTCTTTGAATTTTACGTCTTATTATTTAGAGCTTCAGGACCTTTTAACTTTTTATTTAAAGAGCTCATAACCACTGTGTTATGCTATTTGCCTGTTTGTTTATCTAAATCATCACATATGTTATATTTTCTTTACTAAATAGGGGGACTCTCTCCTTGATTATTTTACCTAATGACAGAGTTCCTCTTTAAGAAATTCACTATCATTACTCTTTACTTTTGCTTTATTCTAGACTACTCTAAATAGATTTTTCTTTGTCAAAAATTATTCTGTAAAATAAAGTAATTTTCATAAATCTGTATTTATGTTGCATAAATTGTATTTTGGAGAAATGAAATGAAATGATCTTCTTTGTTCATATGTTAGCATGATGCAGAGAATTGAAAACTAAGTTTACTATTTAGGCAATGCATTTTCATTGGACTATCTCAAAGTATTAAGACAGCTTTGACTATCTATTCCTTTCGAAATCCAACTCAAAGTTTAGTCTTTGGAATCTTCTAAGGTTACAGTGATAGTCTGAAAGTGTGCTTCCTATAGCAGAACACAGTTCAA